CTAAAGCTGAATACATGGGACGACAATGCTTGCACAATGCATTTAGTTGAAGTGTTCGATGGAAGATATTTTTCTTTTTTTCTGATTCACTGTGACAATGAGAGTGCCATCGAACATGTTACAAATCCAATTATTCACAGGCGAACAACATATTGATGTTTGTTACCACTTTATTAGAAAGAAAGTCCTGAACTAAGAAATTGAGTTGAAAGGAATTCGTACTACCAATCAAGTTGAAGATATATTTACAAGGCTTTTATCATATCCCATTCCATCTATATCTTAGTGTAATTCCAACCAAAAACCATACTGCACAAACCCCAAAAATCTATCGCCAAACACTCAAATTCATTTTCTCAAATGTACGGTAAAGCATTTATTCGAAACCGTAATTTATACAATCACTCAAATTCATTTAGATTTTTAATACACAAAAAACTTAAAACTTTACATTAATATCATTCTACATGCCATTATTGAAGATATAGATATCACTTGTAGTATTCAAAATCGGTTAGTTCGGAAAATGACTCCGAGTTCATTCTAGTTTAATGAAATTCTTCGTGGTTACAATGTAACATAATGTGTTATATTTTCTGTAACAAGTAACATGATTCACAGGTAAAATGCACTTTGCTTCGTATATATATTACTCATTTTTCAAGTGTTGATATGAGTGAAGTTTATGTTGAACGCTTGGGAATTATAAACTATGGAGGCTTGGATTGACAACAAAAATAATTGATCAAGAAGTTGATAACTTTCCAATGGAAAAAGGTAAAAAATCAAAAATCAAAATTTCATGCTATTTTTTATCAATCTTGTTCATGTCAGTATGTCAATGATTCTCATATTTCGTGTTACGAATATTATATTAGAGGTGACAATCAAGTCGAGCGGCTCGTCGGCTCGGCTTGTAAAAAAGCGGCTCACGGGCGAACCCGAGCCGAGTAGGGTTTTTTTTTAAAAAATTTTAAGGTTTAGAACATGTATAGTTAAAAAAAATATTGAAAAAATCGAGCCCGCCCCGAGATCGACCCACAAATAACGAGCCGAGCTGAGCTCATGCGTATACCGGCCGAGCCGGCTTGACTCGACCCATTGCCACCGCTATGTTATATATTGTGTGACAGTAAAATATAATGTGTTACATACGATGTAACATATTGTAATAGGCTGAAACACATTGTATTTACATTGTAAAATAATGTGTAATAGGAGAATGTAGTAGCATCATAGTGGGTTATAGCTGTCTTTTTGAATTATGAGATTCATTTTATTTTTTATTTTTTGATTTTTCACTTACAATCAATTCTTGGGGAAGAAGAGTGGTAATCTTGGGATGGTAAGAACATCACCAATGCTTCCGTGGACTGCATCAAAAATCTGCCACAAAAATTAAAAAATGCGTAAAAAAGTCATTTCAAATGCAATATAAGAGGAACCCAATTAAAGTCATTTTTAAACTCTATTAAGCTAATATGATAAAAGGCCAAAGAAAAAAAAAAGACAATATATACAAATGGCAATGTCATATAAACCCAATGCCTTTCAAGTTACAAGCCATACTAAACAATAATACATGGAATGCATTGATGATGCTCCAACTTTGGATTTAATCAATTTTAGAATAACAGAATTAGGGAAGAAAATGACAAATTTGCAGCTTTTCGAATGAATTGATTTGTAATTTTTGACCTTCTAGATTTTATCAATGTTTTAAAAATCGACTCAACCATCTACACAAAAAAAGAGAAACGATCAAGAGTCTAAAAGTTTAACCAAACTCAAACCGAGATCAAATAGGTGATTTTTAAAAAATTAAAAATAATAATAAAAAAACCAAAATCAAATCAGTGATTTTATATACATTAACAAAAAATTAAAAGAAAAAATAGAATTTACATTTAAAAGTTTAAAAATTATATACATTACATAAGTTGAACCAGTTAAACCGAAAATGGGTCACAAATTTTCCAAAACCCGACCGATTTAGATGTTTTATAAGCCTACCGGACCGATTATGGTCCTAATTCCCGATTTTTTTCGACCAAGCCGGTCCGGTTTTCGAAACACTGGATTTCATGGCGTTAATTCCCAAAATAACACCAAGGGAATTGTCAATTCTTCAAAGATCGCTCAATTCTATGAAACATTACATGAGCACCCAAATTAGTGTCAGGCTTTCAACACTACTTTTAAAAGAGGATTCTCTACCTTCCAAGCAAAACACTACAAACAAAATTAAGAAATAACCACCTCTCATCGTATGATTTCAAATATGAGAATTTAAGTCCATATCCAATAAATACAACCAAATTCTACCAATTTCCAAACACAAACAAAACATCTTCAGGCAACTACATTATTCATTGATCAAGTTTGATCAGCTAGGCAACTTGGTAAAGTAAGCAATAATATCTAACACGTATATAATAGGCATTGTCTAAAGGATCGACCATGTACATCTCAATTCCAAATGTTAGAAAATGATCACAATCCCAACGAAAACAGAAGCAATTGCAAGAATTCAACCTTCCAAACTATAAGTACCCATCGGATTTTTTTATTCCTTTTCTCAAAGAGGGGCTGTCTCAAAATGTTTATAGTGTGCTAACATCATCCAGAAAGGTACAATCAGAAAGAAATGCTACTGCACAGCATGATTTTGGTTCTAAAGGATGGTGCATGAACATGAGTTCTGCTTTTGTTTCTCCTGGTTCTTATCTGCACCCGAAACAATGCAAAATTAGAATGCTGAATGTTGGATCCTCTCACAATGTTTATAAATGAAAAGCAATACTTACATCCTAAGATGGAAATAACAATGCAAAATCATATGAGATGATGAAAAAGTCATATTTTTAAAAAAGAAGATTTCATTTAACCAACGTATCAAAAAGATGGCCCAAATACATGCTGATTCTCAACTATTAATTGATTTCCTATTCCACTAAATCACCATCTTCCTAGCTCAGAACCTTCACAAGAACAGCATCAGAGAATGGTTCTATCCTTTTTGTTGAGTGCTATGAAAAACACAAGATCATGTAGACACTTGGTCAAAATCTCACTAATCAAATTCCAATATGAAGACATCAATTTTAAGATGGAAGTAAGTATATTTTGAAACCAAGGTATGAGTTACTTCTAAAAGAAGTAACTGCTTTACGTAAAAGTAATCTATCCAAACACGTTTGTAAGCAAATAATTGGCAAAATGTAAATTTAACTTTTATTTTTTAAGCTTAGCCAAACATGATAGGGGAAATGGGAAATCCTTGTCAGAACTGGGGAATTGAAAAACCACAGAAGGGTTTGGATCAAATGCCAATTTTTTTGTATTTTCCCTTTTCCATTCAACAGTTTTGACATGTTTTTGCTTGCTTTCCACAACCAGGGATGACAAGAGACTAAGTGCAACTTTCAGTAAGCGATGTGAGGAGTTTCTGTGTCTTTTTCATTCTTCTGTTTTGACATGTTTTCGCTTGCTTTCCACGACCAGGAATGACGAGACTTAAGTGCAACTTTCAGTACGGGATGTGAGGAATTTCTGTTGGAGTTGGATTAGGAAAGAGAGGCCACAGAAAGGTTTAATTCAAAATTGATGAATACTTTTTGTGTTGTTCTATGTTTACTTTATCTTTGTGGCTTTTATCCCCTTACTTTTGACTACCAGGTATGTGACAAGAGATGTAAGTGCAACTTTCACTAGTTCACGTGGAATAGGTTTGACAACCTTTAGAAGTAAACTTTGTATTTTCTTACAATTTCAACCTAGATGAATGTGAGTCTCATTGGCTTTGATACCCTGATGATAAATTTGATGGCACTAATGGCCAAATTCACATTATTGTCCAAATATTCAGCAAGATATAACTGACCAATTTCAAGCACTACCCTCTTGAAAATTCTAAATACTATAGCCTAACATCAAAAATCTAAACCTTTGCAATTATCAACCCAAAATTTAAATGACCTACCAACCAGACTTATTATAAGTAGTATTAATTCGATCTTTAAGATCCTGACCTGGACCTCCTGGATCAAAAACAGCAAATATTTTGAGTGCTCTAGTATAACAAAAAACTACCATTAACAGAGAAAGAATGACTGTACTCATCCTGCCAATCATGGACAAAAATACTTCATTCACCCTTGACTTTGGCTACCTTGAAACTAGGTTAAATGGTCAATAAGTCCAGTCTAAACAAACTTCCAACACTTGCAGTTGGCACACTTTGCCACATGGGGGGAAGAAATTCCTTACACGGGGATTACATTTCCGCCAATTGAACAAAAGGATCAAAGTCACATCCTATCAGATAATGCAGTAAACAAAATGCAAATAATAGTTTGAGGAATTTTCTCATATTGAATTGGATGCAGTGTTTTAAAAACATTGCCTAATTCACATACAAAACAATGAATACGAACACACCTGTCTTCTTTTTTGCAAGAGGAGGCTGTACAACAACATGCATAGTGATGACTCCTTGTGGAAAGTCACCAACATGTATTCTGGACTCAGCAAGTGTCTTGCCTTTGTCCAAAACTTTTCCAGCATGTATAAGTTTCATATCATTTACCGACTTCGGGATAACAGATTTATCTGTAAATGCAAATGCATAATTAGAATCTCATGCAAAATTGAGAAAACAATCAACAAATATGTTATTAGCCTGAAACATGCTGCTCAGCACAGGAAATTACAGAAACGAGTTCTATCATCATATCTGTTCAACAAATTATTCTAAAACAATCACCTTACATATGTTGTCTACAAAGAAGAGACTACCAGGACTACAAAGAAATTGACCCCTAGAGTTTATTTTTTTATTTATTAGCAGTGTTGCCATATTTTATAATTCAGCAGTATCTTAGAATATTTTCAGATACTTTTATTATATAGGTATGCTTTTGTTTATTAACCTTTATGACACTAGGCTAATGATTCCTTATTAGGGTTTTGCCAGGGAGCAGCCGCTTCGGCAAAATGGAACTTATATTTAAATACTTATACTGACCAGTGGGAGGCAGAATATTTTAGCGATATAAAATTTCTTTTCAATCTCACATTTTACCCCTTCTAAGTTCCATCTAGGGTCTCATTTAAAAACCATTTCATCACGGATTCAAACATTCTTGAGCTGAAAGAGACAAAACTGAAACATCCTGTAAGGTGGAAGAGATAGTACTTGCAAGGCCATACTCAATGTCCTGGTTGGTATAAAACCAAATTCACTGTGATTGAGTTACCTTCTTCAATGTTAAACAGGTGATCTACTAGGAGAACAAGTCTTATACAAAGTTGATCCAATGACATCTCTTAGATATTCTGGGACAACCATGAATTCCTCATAAATTCAAAAGTCAGCAAGTATGACCACCTACACTATTTCCACCCGGGACAGCAATCGACTCTTCAAATACTACACAAGGCTTGTTCAGGACCCACAGCATTAAGCTTGGGATATTTCATCAAGCTAAAATTTTCTATAGGGAGAAACTATTGCATAAAATATTGAAACTACAACACAAGCCTTTTTCAGGACCTACAACATTAAGCTTGGTATTTTCCATCGAGTTGAAATTTTCTATTAGGAGAACTAATGCATAAAAGATTAAAGAACAGATTAGAGAAGTAAAAAGAGACTGTTAAGAAATGATCTAGGATTTAATATGTTGAATTACAGTAATGTTATTTATCAGTTATCACTAGTGTTGTTCAAAACCAGTCTATGTGGCATTGGAGGCAGACACCCCCACAATTGGTGATCATAAAAAAATATAATTGACCACCAATTGTGATATATGGGATCCACTACATCACAAGTGAGAAATAGCACTATCCTTTAAATTATTACTTATTAGGTGTATTCTAGTGATTATAAATTTCAGCAGTATCTTAGAATCTATCCAGAAACATTTGGTTTTATTTATACGCTGTTGTTTAAATATTTTGGTGATGCTAGGCTGCTGTGTCCTTATAAAGGCTATATTTTGTTAGGACGCCGCTACTTAGGACCCAAACTTCGTAAACATATGTTCTACCAGATACCAACCAGTGGGAGAGAGAGTATTTTGATGTAACAAAAGTTCTTTTCAGACATTCATATTTTGCCCTATTAGGTACCATTGAGTCTCATATTTTAACCCTTTGTTCATACATTTGAGCCTCCTTGTTGCTGGAAAAAGCAACCTCATAGTGATATCTGCTCATCTTCTAGCCAAATCCAGTGTTTGGATCTTCTATTCTAGGAGGAAACGTTTTCATCTACTTTCCTCTATTCAATGGCTGATAGAAATTCTATCCATCCAAGACTCAACTTCTATTTATTCTACATAGCCTCTGTTTGGGCTCCATTTTAATTATAATACATTTTTCTATTTCTTCTTTTCAACCACAACTTATTATATAAAATAATATTACACGTAAATTCAAAACTTTTCCTTCTTTTTTAACCACACATTTTCCAAAAAATCACTATTCTAAAATATATTTTTCCCTAAAAACTAATTTTAATGGAGCCCAAACAGGGACTTAATGCTCCTCACGTGCGCTAAAAGTTGGTATTCTAATAATATTGAAGTTCTTGAGCTGCCACTGCTGCAAGGCCTAAAAATAGTCACGACATGAGTCTCCAATCAAAATATAAAAATATATGGACAGGATAACAGCTGTAGAATATATCATCTACTTAGGGAGGAAAAGTACTAATTATTACATAACTTAAATAAGAGAACTTATCAAACATATGAATCATAAAGATTAATTCAAATACTGGAGTTGCAAAATATTAACCTTGAGGCCACTCAGCCAGAAGCCTTTGCTTAAGAATATCAGTAGTAGTGGACGATGAGTAGGTTCCATGACCTATATCTGTCCCATCAAAGATTCTAAACTTAAGCTCAACGCAATCATCTTCTTCAGCCATGGTAGCCCTCCAAACAGTTTACAAAACTCCAATGCAAAGCAATCACAAAAGTTTGATTAAAAGTATTCGTTTTGCTAGTGTTCACCTGCCCAAAAAATCCAGACAAATGCATAATCCAATCATACTCAATAACATTCATCTCAATGCACATAGAAAATATAATTAATGAAATTATAAAATGGTCAATATCAAAAACAAAATAGATGAAATCATGAAACTGCTACTAACCTTGATAATTCCACAGGAAAATCCAAGAAAATGCAATAGCGACTGTACATTTGAATCACTCCCCAGAGAACCAAGTAACCACTTCATATGATCCAATGACTTCTCGGTACAGGTGCAACCTTACAAAGCCCCTGTACAACAAACATGTCAAATAGATTCTCTATTATAAATCTCACTACTAAATGTAAAATTCCTCATATATCTTTAGATCTCCAAAAAGAAAAAAAAAAATCTATCTCTAAAATTAAACTTGCCAAAAAAGATCCTAATTTGTAATATTTCTGACTAGAGACTCTGCAAAAGTAAAATACATACTAGGTTTTACATTTTAGCTATACAATTCTCCAGTTTTCCACTTAATACACTACTTATTAGTTTCTCTTCCACCGGATTATCTGATTAAACGAATAAACGAGCAAGAATTAGCAAAAGAATTAATACTTCAAAAAATAAAAGGCGACAGTGAATATTTAACCTAATCAAGATGCCATTTGATTATAGATCGGTTCCTCGAGCGCGGTCTGAAGCAAGCGAGCTCCGGAGACAGATTGCGAACGATGATTTGAGATGAGAGAGAGATTCGGTGATCTTTGACGCTTTTCCTTGTCCATTTGCTTATCACTCTCTTTTTGACGGTTAGTCACTCAACTTGCAGCAAAAGTTCATATTAGTCATCCAACTTTATTTTACTTTATTAATAAAATTTACTTCTACTTAATTATTAATTTAGTACATATATGCCTATACAATGTGGGTGTTTGGCACTCATTCTTTTGAAGAATGAGTTTTTGAATAGTGATTGATGTAAAGAATGTGTGGTTAAAAAGTAAGAAAAATTTTTGAGTTTATGCGTAATATTATTTTATTTGAAGAATGTGTGGTTAGAAATGAGTACTGTAGAAAAATGAGAATGAGAATGAAATAAAAAATAGGTGTCAAACAGGGGCAATAAAAGAGAGACTTCATTTTACTTAGTGTTCATCCTCTTTTATTTTATTTTATTTTTAATTATTATCATTTTTCCTTCTTTTAGCTTTACAATCTATCTCTTCCTATACTTTCAGGTTTTTTTTTTTTTTCATCCACTCAAAACCTTACACCCTATCTATTTACGCTTTTAGATCTTTTTTTCTTCAACCAATAAAAACATACTGGTATTTTGCTTTACTCAAAACCTTACACCCTATCTATTTACGCTTTTAGATCTTATTTTCTTCAACCAATAATAACATACTTGTATTTTGCTTTTACTTTCACGTAACCATCTCACTCCCCATTTCTCTTCACAGTTGTATAGCACAATTTTCTTTCTTTCACTCTTCCGACTATGTTCTCTCCATTTCTCTACGCATTTGAAGAATCAATTTTCATTTTTTGGTTAATCCTCGTTATCTCCTTGATTTCTTTCAGTGCACTGCGGATTGAGGGCTTTCTATTTGACACATAAATTTGAGATTCGTTTGGGGAGTTTTGATTGGTAAGTTTATTTCTGATCTGATTTTTCCTCCCCTTTTTCTAGGTGTTCTTTTTTGAGAGGAAATTGGAGATTTCTGAGAGAATAGGGATTTTGGAGTCGAGGGATTTTATGTCGACAAGTTTTGATTTGGGTGTTGTGCTTGGGGTCGTTGAAGCTCTGTTCTTGTACTTCTTTTTTAGATTTTAATCTAATCGTTGCAATATCTTGCGATATTAAAAGATATGAACAAGAAATTGAAAGAATTTGTCAAACAACTTTTTGACACACTTGGACAACGCTAGAATATCACTGGGGATGCCATCAACAACGCTTAGCTGAAAGAATTCTGGAATCGAACATCGGATCAAAGTTTTGATTCTTGGCTTCAAACTTCTTTGAAATGCAAGGATGAATCTTCAAAATGGTTATATTTGGTGATTTTTGTACTTTGTACATTATGCTTTTGGATAATTGTTCAATTTTATCTTGTAGTTTTGTTGTCAATTGATTTCATATATGTGCTTTTCTATTAATTTCATAAATGCAGTACCTTGATGTAATGGTTGTAAAACTTCCAACCAAAACCAGCAATCAAACTTCACAATTAATTGCACAAAAGTAAAGCTCAGTTGGGATTCAACAAACCAACCGATATTTCATTAATAAACTAAATTGATTGTTAACATAAGAACCAACTGAAGATACAGAATAAGAAATGGGTTGAGGAGAAGAAAGAGAGAGAATATGAGAATCTAGAAGAGAGGAATGAACTAGAATTCTGCTAATGCCAAAAATCACACTCTCCTCCCTCCATCTCACAGTTATAACAGAAGAAAGAAACGTGTTTTACACTTTTACAATTTAAAGAATGAAACGGTGTCGTCTTCTGCTAGCTAAAACAGCGTCATCCTCATCTTGTTGAAACGGTGTCGCTTCCTCATTTAAATTTCTAGTAATTTCGTTGATTTCTGCTTTTCTTCCTTCCCAGTTGCTGAAGCTACTTAATATCTGCTCCTCTTCATTGCATTCTTCCTCCTCTATTTGACCTTATCCTCAAGGTTGAAAGGAAGGATAAGTTTCTTGAATAGCTACGGAGTCATCCCAGGTGGCTTCAACCTCCAAGGTACCCTTCCAATGAATTAATCATTGAGTAACTGCATGGTTATCTTTCTTGATGAGGCGAGTCTGTAGGACTGAAAGTGGTTCCGGATAACCTTTACCCTATTCTCATTCTTCTGGCATCAGTAAAATAGGTACTTCTTGTTCTCCTATTTTTTTTGTTGGTTCTGGCCATCACTGATTGTTGTCTGTAAGGTCGTAGTTTCAAATACACCCAATCGCCTTCTTGAAATGCCCTTTCAGTTCGATTTTGATCAGCATAAAATTTCATTCGGTCTCTCACCCGAGCCAAATGTTCCTTCAATAACAGATCCATATGATGCCATTCCTACACCAATTCCTCTATTGTAGCCACATTAGTTTGTTGATAAGGTCCTAGAGCCAGCTATGGCAGTTTAATACCATATAAAGCTTCAAAAGGGCTCATCTTGATTGATGTATGATAGGTGGTATTATACGATCATTCAGCCAAGGACAACCAATTGATCTACTGATTGGGTTTGTGGAATGTCATGCATCTAATGTACATTTCTAGGCATTGGTTGAGCCTTTCAGTCTGACCATCAGTTTGTAGGTGGTAGACAGAGTTTAGGTGAAGTTTAGTACCCATTAATCTGAACAACTCTTACCAAAAACCACTAGTGAAAACTTTGTCCATGTCTAACACTATACTATGAGGAATCCCATGAAGTTTGTAGATATTATCCAAAAATTTCCTTGCCACTGTTACTGCAGAGAATGGATGGGACAGGGCTACGAAGTGCCCATACTTGGTGAACCGGTCTACTACCACCAATATTACAGTCTTCCCCTTTGATGAAGGTAGCCCTTCAATGAAGTCCATGCATATGTGGTTCCAAGAATATTGTGGTTTAGGTAACGGCGGCAAGAGGCCAGGGTAAGGAACATGTTCGCCTTTGCATCTTTGGCAAGTGTCACAGCTAAGTACCTCCTTCTTGATCTCCTTAGTCATACCAGGCCAGAAAAAGTGTTTTTGGCACTGTACACACTGGCTTGGACACCTGACTGACCTCCATTTTGAGAGGAATGAATATTCTATATCAACTTAGACTTGATTTGACCTTCTGACCCAATATATAATTTTCCTTTATATTTGAGCAATCCATTTTCGTAAATGAAGTCAGGATTTTCTTCGGGGTTTGTCAGGGTTGCCTCAATTAGTTGTTTAGCTTTCTCATCTCCTTTATAGCTTCATATTACTTCTTGTATCCAAATGGGTATAACATAGGAAATGGCTGTAACTTCCAAGTTTGCCTTTTCTCTTCTTGATAGTGCATCAGTCACAGTATTATTAGTTCACTTCTTATATTGTATCTCGTAACTAAGCTCAAGTAGTTTGGTTAGCCATTTTCGTTGGATAAGAGAGGTGAATATTTGCTCTAGTAAGTACTTTAAGGACTAATGATCAGTTTTAATCACAAAGTGATGGCCCTCCAAATAATGTTTCCATTTTCCAATTGCAGTAACCAGGGCCAGTAGCTCCTTCTCATATATCGACATTCCCAACTTTTCATTACAAATGCCTTTACTCATATAAGCAATAGGCCTTCTGCCTTGCATCAAGACTGCTCATATTCCCCCATGGCAAGCATCAGTCTCCACAATGAAAGGTTGGCCAAAATCTGGAAGGGCCAACACTGGTGTGCTACACATAGCTTCCTCAAACTTTGAAATGCTGCTTCAACATTGGCATTCCAACTGAAGCAGTTCCTTTTTAGGAAGTCAATTATAGGTTTGAAAAGTACACAAAAATCTAATAAATTTTCCCCTTATTCTTTGAAATGAAAAAATTGGTATGTGCTTAAGAAGATTTGGTTGGCTCAACAAATAGAATGTTATAGAAACTGATGTTATTTTACCTTTTATAATTATTTAAATTTTATTTTTCTTGTATTTTAAAAATTTCATGATTAAGAAGCTTGTTTTGTATACTAATTTATTTGTTAGAATAGATTGGAAATCTTGATTTTTTATTTTTTATTTTTTTAAGTAATTTTCTTTAGTAACCTCAATTTTAGCGAATTAACTTAAAAAAATTCACTCGATTAATGGTCTAAGTGTGATTTTTTTGCTCAGCTTGATTAATTGAATTTTTTATTGACCTATCATTTTTCTTTTTTGTAGACATAAGAGCTTTAGAAATTCACTATTTATCTTTTTGTATGGGTGTATGTAG